CCCGCTCAGCAAGTCCCAAGCAGGAAACCAACGCAGGAAAAGTAGTTTTCAGGGGCTGGACTGGAAGAAAATTATATGTTTGGAGTATAAATACAAAAATGTACATTTAAATTTAAAATAGAGCCATGAGTTTTAATACACATACCTCTTAAAATTTCCACAAAATTTCAACTACTATAATGTACTATGGGATAAATCCATTAAAATGTGCTTTATTGTATTAAAATGTACGGGGGTGTGCATTTTCCTCTGTGGAACACAGCTCCATGGGCTCTGTCCACTGCCACTCTCCTGTTTGTTGCCCCCCGGGGAGCCCAGGGGTGTTTTGTGGGGCAGGGTCTCTGGGGCTGTGTTTTCTCCAGTCTGGGCGCTCAGGGGTGCTGGGGACCCTCTGCCAGGGAGAAGAACGGAAACTTGTAAGAGGCAAGGCAGTCTTCTCCGCGCAGTGGGAGCAGGCACCGCATTGCTGGTGTTTTGCTGCCCTCTGGTGGCAGCATGCAGTTGCTCCTCTCAGTCCCGGTCCCGGTTGTCTGGTGAAGATAGGTTTATTTGCTCGGTCAATAGTAACCGGAAACAACATTTATTCAGCACCAATTGTGTGCCAGGTGCCCGGTAACCCTCATAACGTCCCTGGGGGTCAGTAAGGCTAGGGGAGGGATGGGCAGTGATGGTGGACGCCTGAGCCAGTGAGCTGAGAAGCCCAGCCAGGGGACCCATGAGCTCCATGTTGGACGTTTGGCAGGCACAACAACCCCACCGTTCCACAGAAAACCACTGTGGCCACCTACTTAGTCTATTCTCATGCCCACAAAGGCCCTATCTCCAAGTGGCATCACACTCTGAAGTTCCAGGTGGATATGAGTTTGCAGGAACCCTGTTTAACCCAAGACAGAAACTGCCTTTACAAAGCAGGGTTCAGGGGCCCTGCAAACCGGCTCAGATCTCGGGCCCAGTTTTTACCCCATGTTGGGTCCTGCTGGGAAGACCCCTGGAGTTGGAGAGGCTGATGGCAGGGGAGGATTTATTTAAAAAAAAAAAAACAAAAACGGCTCTCACAAGGCCATTACTCATTTTTATCCAATTATAGTTTCTTTGCCACTCTTGTGCAAGGAAAATGTAAGATAGTGACGGGTGCTCTCCTTGCCACTTGTGTCCGCTCAGAGCCCGCCTGTAGTGCGGTTGGGAGGGGCCTCAGGGGCCCTGAGCCAGTCTGACAGTGGATGCTGCTCTACCCCGGCCCAGTGCAGCTATAACACCCCATGCAGCCTCGCCAGAGAGCAGGGACTTCTAAAGAGAAATCTAGGTTTTTAAAACTTCCTGCTTTTTAACTGTTGGCAACTTCTTTTAAAGAAAACAAGGTAAAAACACTGGTAGCTAAGAGAAGTCTGTGTTTTGAAAGCCTCCAGTGTGAGACCTCAAGGGCAAGGAATTTTCAGTCACCCCATTTCATTGGCCTGTCAGTCCTGTGGACAAAGGGGTCACCTCCCCTTTACTGATAGAGAAATTGAGGTTCAGAAGGAGGAATGGCTGGTTAACTTAAGACAACCTGAAGAATAGGAGCTGGCGATGAGATTCGAACCCAATTCATCCCACCAGAGCCCTTGCCCTAAACCCCACTTTAGGTCCAAAATGGCCAGAATTCTGAGGTGGCCCCAAGATTCCTGTTCCCGTATACAAACCCTGTATATAATGCCCTTGAGTGTGAGCTGGACGCTATTTGCAGGCGGAGGGCTTTTTCAGGTGTAATTAATATTCCCAAATCAGTTGACTCTGAGTTGATTCAAAGGGAGATTATGCTGGATGGGCCTGGCCCGATCAGGCAAGACTTTTGTAAAGATCTGAGGAGCAGCAAACAGCTCTGAGAGAGCTGCTCACGGAAGGGGGCCATGTAGCAAGGACCTGGGGAGACACAGCAAGGAAACCGGGAGCCCAAGGACCGTGCATCCAGGAGGGACTGACTTTGGGGCCATTTATTCCCTGCCTTTTCTCAACAAACATGTCTCATCCACCTGTACTGGCAAAGAGTAGGGCCTCCGCCGTCACCTCCAGGTCCCTGTATCCAGCTCCTCCCTGGCCTTGGGGAGGATACGGTCTATCCTCCCCAAAGCCACCAGAGGGCGTATGTGAGCATCTAGTCTGCTCTGCCCACTGCCCTCCATGGCTCCCAGGTCCCTCAGAGTAAAAGCTCAAGTCCGGCTGTACTCACGGGACCGTGCGCGACCTGCCTCCTCCATCATCTCTTTGCCTTCATCTCCCCTTCTTCCCTCCTCACTCATTCTGCTCCAACCACACAGTTCTCCCTGCTGTTCCCCCAACACGCCAAGCTCTGTCCAGCCTCACGGCACGAGCGCGTGCTGTGCCCGCTTCCTGGTTACGTTGCTCTGGCTCATTCTTTCACCTAATTCTGGCCTCTCTCAAAGGTCACCTCTTCCGAGAGGTCTCCCCGACCACCCTGGCTCAGAAAGCTGCCCTGTCCCTTGCTACATTCTGTTCCTGCTTACAGTTTTCATTGCCTGGTGTGTGTCACCAGCCTTTGCATCACACATTTAAGCGTCATTATTTGTTTATGTATTTATTTATTTTTGAAAAGACTTTATTTTTTTAGAGAGAGGGGAAAGGGAGGAGAAAGAGAGGGAAAGAAACATTGATCAGTTGCCTCTTGTATGCACCCCAACTGGGGACCAGACATGTATTCCAGGCATGTGCCCTGACCAGGAATCGAACCCATGACCTTGTGCTTTGTGGGACGACACCCAACCAACTGAGCCACACCAGTCAGGGCAAAGAATCATTGTTTAATCCCTGTGAGCTCCGTGGTGTGGATGCCATGCTCCTTGGTCACAGTGGGTTCCGGTGATTTGAACAGCACCAGACACTTAGTAACCGATGAAAGACTGTGATATTTATGGAGCACCTGTGGTCTGCCAGGCGCTGGTCTAGGCACTGTGTACATGACAGGGATAAGACAGACACTCCTTCCCCTAGCAATTAGGCGCTCAACCTGGCGGGACAACAGATCGGAATCAAATTGTCACACAATGGTTAATCAGAACTAATGCTAACTTGGAGTTCACTGTGTACCAACCAGGTGCTTAGTACTCTGTTAGTTCATCCGCACCACTGCCCTGTGGAGGTGATACTGGACCCTCGATATCCCATGCTACAAATGAGGAAACTGAGGCACGGGGAGGGTAAGGGTCTTTTAAGTTCCCACGGTCCGTTAGGTCATTCCAGGATCAGTCCTACGGGCTCAGGCCCCCATGCTCCTGTGCAGACCTCGTGTCCTGTCTCAACGCCAGTCATGTGCCTCAGGCGGCTGGCGGAGCTGCAGCGCGTGTGATGCGTGCACTCGAAGTGCTTGTGTCTCGAGACCTGCCTGTCCTGGGGCTCCTGGATGCCTGCAAGTCCCTCGGGGGGAGAGCCGGCCAGCCTGGCAGTCGCCCCATCCAGGGCAGTCAGATTTAGTCACTGAAAACAGAAGATGGCCCCGGTGGGGTGGCTCCGTGGGTTAGAGCGCCACCCCGCGTGTGTGCCTGCACACTCTCTCCCCCTCCCTCTCTCTGAAATCAGTAAACATATCCTTGGGTGAGATTAAAAAAAAAAAGAAAACAGGATGATCAGTTGCATTTGAACTTGAGGTAAACAAGGAATAATTTTGTTAAAGCCCATGTAAGTCCCAAATATTGCATGGGACATGCTTATACTAAAAAAGTCATTTGTTGTTGGCCTGAAATTCACATGGGACTGGGTGTCCCGGGTTTTAGCTCACAGCCCTGTCCCTGCAGCCAGTGGCAGCCCTGACTCCGCAAGCAGGAGAGGGGCTCCCCTGAGGGTGAAGGCTGAGCACACCCCCGCGGGAGTCCGTGAGACAAGAGGGCAAGGTGGGAACACTGTGCACAGGGCTGAGAAGCAGACCTGAGAGGGAGGCAGGATTCTGGCATTTTAGATGGAAAGTAGGGTTTGTATTTCAGCCTAATGGCCTCGGAGGGAACTCGCCTCCCTTCTTGGATCATAATGCACTGAGCTGGGGAAGACCCGGGAAAAGTATCCACCCCTCACAAGAGAGAATGGGGGGCGGCCAGGGACCCTCAGACTGAAGATCTGAGAAGTGCCGCCCACTGGCCGCCTGCCTGCATTTCCCCTCTAGAGCCCGCCCTGAGGTGTCCCCCCCACCGCTTTCCAGACAGACCTGCCCCCCTTGGGGGATTCCTCTAAGAATGTATTTAAACCATTCACCAAACACCTCCTGGGCAGCCAGCCTGGCAGGTGGGGAGAATGCTATCTTGGCTTTCTAAGGGGGCTGCCTCATTAAAAGACTCAAACTCGAGGTAAGTCTTAAAAACAAGGCATCTCTAATGTTCACAGTTCTGGACATGCCAGTTGGGTAGAGTTCAGAATTTCAAAGAGGATGTTGCATTGTTAGGGCACTTCTAACTTTTTTTGAGCTTCCTCTGATTGTTCTTAAGGGCCTTCCTTTGCCTCTGAGAGAGCCGATACCCACCCCCGTTTTCATTGTGTTAAGATGCACAGAACATGACATTCACCACCTTAACCATTTTGAAGTGTGAAGCTCAGCAGCGTTACACGCGCCCACACTGTTGTGCAGCCGTCCCCACCGTCCGTCTCCAGAACTTTCTCACCTTCCCACACTGACACTCTGACCCCAGTACACACTGACTCCCCTCCCCCGGCCTGGCTCCACCACCTGCTTCCTGTCTCCCTGAGTCTGACTCTGCGCAGGACCCCTCTGAGTGGGGTCACACGGTGCTTGTCCTTAACGCACATTGGGAGTGCAACCGACTCGGTGGGATGAGGCCACCTGGGAAGACTGGGCCTGGCGGGACTGCAGACGGTCACTCCACAAGCACTGATTGAGCGCCTACTGCATGCTGCATGCTGGGAATTCGGAGTGTGACCCTGACGGCTTGTCACGGGGCCTGCAGCCCATGGGAGGAGAGGTGAAGGCCCCTTGGGGGCACAGGGAGCGTCACCAGGAGAAATGAACCAGAAGCAGAGGGGGTTTATTTCATGGTGGACGCGAACAAGCAGGTTGTGGCAGAGAGCAGAAGGACCCCTTTCAGCCCACAAATCAAGCCCTTTCCTCAGCCAGGTCAGATGCTGTCCCCGTGGGACCCTATCACGTCAGGCAGGGCTTTGCTGGTGCGCCGTGGAGGAGACTCCTTGGCTGGGAGAAGGCCCTCAGATGGGGCGCTCAGGTTTCCTCCCTCAGACTGGAAGGTTTCCCAGGGCTGGAGCAGCACGTCCCCCTTCTCAGACGGGGCCTTGGGGAGGGGCAAATGCCTCTCCCCTCAGACCTGGGGCTTTTTAAGTTTCTAGGACCCATGCCTTCCTCCAGCCAGCCCCTCTGCCCTCAGACCGGCCGGAATGATGACAATTGGAGTGGGGGAGGGGAGCTAGTCTCCATCCTCCTTGGACACAAGAGTATTTGGCAAAGTCCTAGAAACAGAAAGAATTCATAGAGGTCCCGTTTTAGCCCCAGCTCTAGACCCAGAAAAAGCAGAACAATTTCTCTAGGAAAATAAAAGCAAGAAAGCCCTCAAGTCCAAAGGCACAGCCACCCTCAGGGTTGTCGGCTTGCCATTTGTGGTTCTCGGATTGTGCTTAAATGGGGACCTGTTCCCTAAAGTGTGTGTGTGGGGGGGTGGCTCAGTGATGGTCTTGGCGGTTCCCACAGGGTCAGGGTGCCCCGTCTCCAGGCTCAGTCTTCGTCCTCACTGGCATAGATGCCAGCCTCCCAGAGTTCCGCCTTGGTACTCTTGTGGCGGGGCACCCGAGTGGCTTCCAGAACCTGCAAGAGGAGGCAGAGAGTCCCCATTATGATGCTAACCCCCACCCCAGACACCGCTCCCGCTACCAACTCACAGGAGAGGCTGCGGACCAGGGTAAAGCAGGAGCATCCCCTCCTCTGTTTCAGGTCTCCTACCCCTAGTAATAGCACCAAGGGCTGTGCTAACTCATGCTGAGTTCCCCAGCAGCGAAAATGCCTGGGGCTGCCATTTTGGGCTCAGCTCACAGATGGCCCCAAATATATCCCACAAATCCACTGAGGTAGCCGCCCTTCTCCATACTCTCAGAAGAACCTCTCCCTCAAAGAAAATGCCCTCGTCTTGGGCCCAGTCTGCTCCAAAACCTTCGTTATTTGACAAAGCTGCAAGTGCACCCACTTCATACGATCTGTACCCATGGCAGGCATCACAAGCAGATCAGAGCAAAATCTAGCACAGGCAGACACTATTAATCGAGAAGCTACCCAGTGCAGTCCTCACACCCAAAAGAGGCTTTTGATGGCCCTGGTGCCATGGGGCAGGGGACACAGACAGGGAAGGAAAAAGCTAGGAGCACACACTCACCTGGGAGTTGACATGGTCCGAGGGGTTGATGCCAGCATACTAGAGGAAAGGAACATGCGTCAGCCCCTGGGCCTTCCGGCCCCGCCCCGCCCCAGAGCCCACCTGGAACCCTGTGCACAGCCCCCTCAGTCACCGCTGAGGCAGGAGGAAAGGTGTTTCATGCCCACCGTGACCCTCCTCAGTGCCCCTCGATCATCCCACTCAGTCATCCACCTTGCTGTTCCCTCATGCCGTTCCCCTCAGTGCAGCTCAGTCTGTCTGTGCAATTATTATTCCTCTTTGTCAGCTTCAGCATCATAAAGACCGCCGGCATTTACGGGGCTCTTCCCATGGCCAAGCCCCGCTGTGAGGCTTGGAGGTGGCTGCTCTCACTATCATGCTCATTCCACAGAGGAAGAGACTGAGGGTCAGAGAGGGGCAGAAATTGCCCAACATCACATAGCCGGCACGTGGCAGGGCTGGGACTTGAACTTGGGTTACTGGACTCCACTCTGGGTCCCAGCCCATGGGGCCAGGCTGTGAGTACCAGCTGCGTGAGGCCGGGCTTTGTGTTATTATCTAGGGTGTCTGTCCCTAGTACCCCGCTCAGGGAGGACACGGCCTCACGGTTGAAAATATGGGGTGTGGAATCAGGCCGGGGTCCAGTCCCAGCTCAGACACTCAGAGGCCACGTGACCCTTGGCAAGTCTGGCTCTACCTTCCTGGGGCCCTGACTGGGGGTGGGGGTGTCAGACCTCAGCCAGGCCTCTGAGGGGTGGGCAGGGCCCTAGACTCACCCACTGCTCCTTCTTCCTCTGCCCAGGAGCAGCCTCAGCAGGGGCCTCTGCCTTCCACACCAGGCCCGAGTGCAAGCGGTGGATAGGGGTGAAGAAGTGCGACTCGGACACCGAATAGCTGCCCTCGATGCCTGTGGGAGGAGGGGGCAGGAAAAGCATCAGGGAGGGTGCCACAGTGCCCTGAGGGTAGGATGCCGGTCAGAACAAGGCTCAGGAGACACAGAATATCTGGCCAAGTGTGTGGACCAGTTAAGGAGACAGGTGAATGAACAGATATGCAAAGCAGATAGCTTGTCAGCAAAGCTGACACCGTGACCAAAATAACCAGTCAGGAGGGACTGGAAAGACGGGTGGGCCAGCTGTGCAAGGTGGGAACATGAAAGTGACACAGAGATATTTAATATCGACAAGAGGAGCAATGGACTAAAAAGTTACAATATCTATAAACCCTTATGTGTCTAATAATAAAGCATTCAAAACCATAAAGCAAAAACCCAAGGGCAAAGTTGACATCTCTCTCCAAAATCTATAGCTTAAGAAAACATACAGGCAGACGGACCAGCCAAATGGGGGAATGGACAGAGTCCCCCCGATGTCCCTCCACCCTCAGCCCCTCCTGACACCCCCAAACTCCACTTCCCCACCCTCCTTTCCTCTAGCCTTTGAGACCCAGATCCAAGCAGCCATCCCCCAGGACACCTCCTCACCTGATGCCTGGGAGGAGCTCCTGGAGTCTCTGTCACAGCCCGGCTGCTCGAAGACCTCTGGGAAGAGAGCGTTGCGTCGCTCCTCGGCCACCTCTCGCTCCCGCTTCAGGACATTCTCCATCTCCTTCTCCAGCAGCTCAGAGGACTGGGACCTTTGTAGCCTCAACCTCGGGGCTCCAGCCTCTTCCCAGCCCCAGGTTCTAGGGACCTCAGCTTTCTGGGGCACGTCTGGAACCCTGAACCTCAGGGGACGCAGGCGAAAGTACTCCCTTCGCACGACACCCCCACTAGCTGGTGGGGGTCCCCTGGGGGGCTTCTGGAGCTCCTGCTTTGTGCCTGAGGGTTTTCCAGAAGATTCCAAGAGATGCCTCTGAGATCCTGTGGCCTTTGGCGAGGCCACCGCCTTGGCTGCATCTGCAGAGAGACCACTAGGCTTGCCGTAAGCGTGGAAAGCTGAGAAATTTTGCTGGGGGGCCCCAGAGCTCAAGTAAGGCTGGTAAGCGTCAGCTGGAATGCGGTTCACCTTCCTCAGCTCTGGGGCGGGGCTGGCTGCCCTGGTGTCTGCGGCCAGGCCGAGGATGGAGTCTGAGCTAACTGCTCTCCTGAGTCCAGGCTGGGGGTCCTTCGAGATCCTGGTGGGCGTGGACACCCAGCCCATCTGCAGGCCCTCCCGCCGGTGGTCCTCTTCACGCTGAGTCTCCTGTACCATGTCACGCTGCACGTAGAGGGACGGGCGCCCCCTGTCCCGCCGCGGGGCCGTGGTCAGGCTCACCTTGGTCAGCAGAGGCCGGGTGGGTATCTCCACCAGCTCCTGGTGGCTCACCGCCCGCTGCAGCCCCCTTTCCTCACGCAGAGCTTCCTCGCGCTCCTGGGCCAGTCGGATCTCCCGCTCGATGGGTGTTTCCTTGGGGGCCTCCAGTGATTCTGCTTGGGACTGGAAGCCAGGGCTGCCCATAGCTTGGATACCAGACCCAGTGGACAAACCACGGGCCCTCTTCTCTTGTATGACCACCTTCACCTGGGGCTTGACTGAGACAACATACCCATTGGACAGGGGTGGATTGTTTAAGGTCTTGGAGGTCTGGCTGACCCTGGGTGGGGTACATGCTGGGCCCGCCCTGGCTGGGAGACTCTGAGGGACCCCTGCATTTGCCTGCTCCAGGCTCAGGAACTGCTGCCTTGCCGCCAGGAAGTCGATCTGCTCCCTGTCAATCACATTGTCCTCCAGGTCCGTGAACTGAGACTGTCTAGGGGTCCCGGGGTCCCCGTGGTCAAGGGTGCCACGAAGTGTGGCCACTGTGCCACTCTTCCTCACTGCCTGGCCCTGGATGACTGCCCAGCGCTCCTTCTCCAGGTCCTGTGGCTGCCTGGGCAGGGCACCCCTTGTGTCCAGATGGTAGCCCTTTGCCTCATCCTCATCGTCCTCCAGCTGCAGGGACTGCTGGCAGGGGCATGCGCACCGGCTACAAAGTGCCCCTGTCCTCAGCATATCCAGCTGGGCCTTGCGATTAGCTGTCTGCACTATAGGCTTGTCCTGGTCCCAGCTGCTGGCCGAGGGCTCCACACCCACCAGCTGGAATGTGTAGCTGGTGTTCCCATTAAGGGCCAGGCCGGCCTTGCCTGGTGAGTGAGGGATGCTGAAGATGGGGTATCTGGTCACTCGGTCCATGTTCTGGGGGTTTCAGCCCACCACAGGTTCCCAGTGTGGAGATGTTCTCAGCTCCCTGAGGATGAGAGGAATGAAAGCCACCAGGTCAGAGCACTTGAGGAGAGGCACAATGTCCTTTTGCTCAAAGGGCAAAGTCCTGCGCAAGTGGCCTCTGTGATTGGTTCAGGGATGGATAAGTAACCCAGTATGGCCAATCAGAGTCTTCTGTCCCTTGGCCTCTGTGATTGGTTCCAGGATGGACCTATGACTCAACCTGGTCAATGACATGAAATCCTGGGACACGGCAATGAATGTGGAAATTGTACCCTCTTCCCGTAAGCTTGTTAGGTTGGCGGGACAAAACTGAGAAGTGCTGAGGGGCCACACATGCCCCCTTGTGGACACAGTCTGCTCGAGAGCAACCCCAACACAACATCCTAAAAATGTTGTTTGAACTCCTGGATCCAGCCACAGCGGAATCTCGCACCTGTACTAACCCAACAACTCACCCTATATGTGTCTGACCTCTGCAAGCACCCCTGCCACCATCTTCCAGACACCGTACACCCTGCCCTGCGGGGTCCCCAGCTACCTCAATCCCACTCCTCCCCTCCTCCACTCAGTTCACCGTGTCTGGACCCAAAGCCACCCCTGGACAGTCTCCCTGGGCCCCCAGCAGCACAGGTGTCTGCCTCGGTCCCAGGGCATACACGTTCTGTGACTGCTTCCGTCTGACATTTACAGATGCTTCCAGGAGGCTTGCCTGTCGCCGAGGGATGTCCAGTGGAAAACCTGAGGCCCAGAGAGGGGTGGCAGCTGGCAGGCTCCAGCTTTCCAGGTCCCACAACCCGGTTCTGTCTCCTGCACCTGCCTAGCGGGACCCCTTGTTCCATCTCAGACAAACCATCTGCCTCAGCCCTGTAAAACCAGGACAGGCTAAGGAGCACCTTGGACCTTGTCCCCCTGGGCTAGGCAACACCCTGACCCAGTGCCCCAGGGAGGCCCAGCTCCCTGTACTCCCCACAAGTGTCCAGGTTCCTGCTGAGCATTACTCCAGGAACTTTCTAGAAGGTCACCTTCCAGACACTGCACACCCTGCCCTGCGGGGTCCCCAGCTACCTCAATCCTACTCCTCCCCTCCTCCACTCAGTCCTCAATCCTACTCCTCCCCTCCTCACACCTCTGAGGCTCCCGGCATCTCCAAAGTTCAGTTCTCACTACCTTCCCTAGGTGCTCAAGGCCACCTCCATCTGATCTCAGCACAAACCCCCAAACTCTGTAGGCACCTCCAACCCTTTGCTTGGAGGTCCTCATTTCTGCACCTCCAAACCTTCCTTAGCTGCAGCCCACAGGACAGCTTCTCCAGGAAGCCCCCCAGATTGCCTCCATTGCTGGAGCCCATCGTCTCAGAGTCTCCTGCGTGCCCTGCTCAGCACCCTAGTGCTAGGTGTCGCCATTTCGCAGCTAAGGAAAGGGAGACAGATTGGGTCCGACTCCCCCAGCAGCCTGGTCCCCGGCCTTGGACTCTGGTCCCACCAGACCTGCCATATGCATTCGCTGCCTTTCTACACCAACTTGGCTGTGAAAGCTAAACGTGGTTCTGAAAAGGAAAACGCAGCATGTCGCTGAATTGGGGAAGTGTCATCAAACAACGGAAAATCAATCCTGGGAACAATGTTACAGTGAATAGGTTATGTATCACACCCTCTTTTGCATATATCAAGCATTGAAACTATAATTAGGAAAACAATCTTTAAAACAGGTGACTTGGACAGTAAGTCCCAGGCCACCGGGCTGAGCCACTGTCCCATTGGCCAAGCAGCCCCCCACAGAGATTTTCTCCTTGAAAGTTATTGGGGGAGGTGGACATGTCTTGGAAGGGGGAGTAAACTTATTTAAGGCCTGTCTTCTCCCACCTGAAGCCATCGGCCCAGGACCCTTTCCCTCAGGGGCCCCAGGTGAGCACCCCCACGGCAGCCCGCGTCTGGTACTCTGCGGGGACTTAATAAAGGCTGGCTGAGCAGGGTGCGGTCTCTGCAAACACTCCTCGCCCCCGGTGCTCAGGACCTGGGGCTGGGTTATGTCAGCGGCAGGCCTAGCTGCCCCTCCACAGCCCCCTCCAGACCACAGCCTCTCCTCCGCGTCAGCTCTGTCCCCGTGCACTGGGGCTCCCTGGAGAGGGCAGGTGTGGCAGGGGTGACAGGGGAGTGTTTGCTGAGTGAGTAGCTGGATGTTCACTCACCAGGATTTATAACCCACAGGGGACGTTAACTGCTGGGAAAATGACCTGCCTGCCCAGGGGGTGTTGGGTCTCCCTGCCAGGTGGGGCAAGGGTGGGGGGTACCACTTCCGCCTTGGCTCATTCCTCCCAGGTGATTCACTGAGCACAGCGAGGCACGGGACTCAGGCTGGGTCTTGGGTTCAAAGTCCCAGGGCCCCTCTCACCTGTGGCCTTGGGCAAGTCTCAGTTCAACCCTTATCTTATTCGCTCCTCACAAGATCCTGTGATTCTGGTCCCCAATTTACAGCAGAGGGAGCCAAGGCCCAGAGAGGGGAACTTGCTCACCTGAGGTCACACAGGTCCTGAAGCTCAAACCCTCACTCCCAGTTGGTTGCCACCTCCTTCAGGAAACCCCCCACTGGATCGCTCCTTCCCAGCCCCACCCCATGTCCATGTCAATGCCAAACTGAAACTAGGTTTATGGCCCCTGGTGCCACACATCTGCTTCCTCACACCGAAACTGGCCTTCTGCCATCAGGGCAAAGGCCTGTCGGAGTGGCTGAGGCTCAGACAGGGAAGATCACACAGCAGTGGGGAGGGGCTCTGGGGGCTCCTCTTCCGTCACCAGGGCTACAGTCCCCCAGGCCCCTGGCTGGGCAGAGCCCCTGCCCCTTTGGCATACCTGGACATTGGACTGAGTCTCGGTGCTGACGCGGGACACGCTGACTGCCCCACCCCCACCCTCCTCCTGAGCGTCCCCAGCAAGCTCTGGGCCCCGTGGGGGTATTGTATGCTGCTTCCCAAGCAAGGCTCTGGCCGGTGCTAAGTGCCTCCCCAGCAACCTCCAGAATTCCCAGAATTCGTGGGCGAGGTTAGGGGTGCTCTCTGGCCTCAGGCCATGGTGCCGATGAGGCCCCTCCCTTGGAGGGTCAGGGCTCAAAGTTCTTGGATTTGGGGCCAGAAGCCCAGGGTGGAGACTGAGGCCCTGGCAAGGTTCAGCGATGGTCCTTGTGCTCCCGGGACAGGGGGCAGGGAGGGTGGGAAGGACACACACCTCGAGCCTCAGAGCAATGGGTGTGCAGAGCAATGGGAGACTCCTACCAGACCCTGACACCCCAGCTGGGTCCCGATGGGCACCGAGCAAGGATGGGGTGTCTCCCTCCCTGCCGCCCAAGGGCCCCACAGGTGAGCAGCTGAGACCAACTGACACACGAACCCCTGTGCCCAAACCAGACCCCACCCCATGCAAGACACCACCCCGCACAGCTTCGGGTGTGTCCTGCTCCCACACGCCCCCGGCCTCACCTGCCGGCTCCTGGCCCCCAGTAACCGTCAAGCCCCGGCTCCACTCTGGCGGCACTGCCCTGCCCACAGGTTGCCAGGGGACAGGGCCCCACCCAGGGGAGGCAGGGGTACCCCTCCTCCTCAGCCCCACCCGGGGTTAAGGAAACAAAGTCCTGAGAAGGAGAAAGAAAGCCGATACCCAGGCAGGGTGGAGGGAGGCACCGTGCCCACAGCACACTGCCCCCCGTCCCCGGCCCCCAAGGCCTCCGGCTGCAGCTCCTCCGAAACCTCCCTTTAGCTGCCGCCTGGCTTTCCCGCCGCCGTTCAGTGCCACTCAGAGAAGGGACATCACTTGCCCAGAGTCACACAGCAGGTCCGGGAACCAGCCGTCCATTTCTGGGTTGTGGACCCCCCGTGTGCCACCAGGCTCCGCCCACCCTTAGGGCTACTCCCCCTCCCTGTTCTGAGACAAGCCCAGCTTGCCTGTTCTGGGGGTTCAGTGAGTCTGGGTTCCAATCCCTGGGACCTCGATGAGCCTCTACTTCCTTCCGGTGAAATGGGGCCATCACACAGCTGGGAGAGCTCCTCAGGCCACTTGGCCATAACGAGCTGACCGAGCACATCAAAAGTGCCAGAGTGCTGGGGGGCGGGCAAGGCCCAAGTCCTGTTGAGGGACGGGGTGCTGAGGTTCCAATGGGCAGGCAGCACATCCTCCCAGGTGCTCAGCTGTCCCGCCCGATTCGAGGTTGAGGCTCGCCCCATTCGAGGTTGAGGCTCGGAGAGTGGCCGGGGCCGCAGGAGCCCAGCGTTTACAGGGAAGTCGGGCAACTGGGACCAGGGGCCAGTCTGTGAGGGAGAGGGCATCGTGGGTGGGGCTGGGCTTCTGTCCTGACCCTGGGCTGGCTGCAGGGGTCCTCTGACCCTGAGTCTCTTCTTCTGCTGAATGGGCCCCAGCCCCAAACCTGGCAGGGCTGCCTGGGATGGAGGGTTTAAGACAGGTCCAGGTAAAGGGATCAGCCCCTTTTGGGGAGTGCGCACCGTGGGCCAGTTCTGTCAGAACCTGGGGCGGACAGCCTCGTTGCCTTCCCCGCACCGCTGCAGGTCCTTTGATCTGTTATGCAGACATGGGAACTGAGGTACAAGAAGTTTCAAGTCCTAAGGGCAGACAGCGTTCGTGAAGGGGCTGGGATTTGGACCTGAGCCTACCATATTTACCGCCCTATTGCCATAGGGAGAAACTGAGGCCCCCAAAGGCGGAGACTGCACCACCCAGTGTGCTAGGGCACTGTGGAGTCAGGGACCCCAATGTCCTGCTCCCAGACGGGGTAGCCTCCCACTCAGGGTTCAAAGCCCATCGAATAGATGGGCAAACTGAGCCCCAAGGGGGCAGTGACTTCTCCCAGTCGCAGTGAGACAGGACAGGGTTGTAACCCCCATAAATGCTTCTTCCCCTACGGCCCCATCTATTTTCCAGAGACTGGTCCCTTGCCAGAGACTTGGCCCCAAGTTCTCTTGGGGGTGTCTGTGGGGTCCTTTAGATTTCCTGGGGAGCTGTGAGCCCAGCAAGGGGCAGCCTCCCAGACAAAGGACAGCAGAGGGGCAGGGCGCGTATGGCATGGAGGGCTCCGCAGGAAACAGAAAGCGAGTCCTGCACTGGCTGTGGCCCGTTCCCTCCAGGTCTTACCTGCCCAGGTGCTGCTCAGATTTGCTCAGGTGCAGGTGTGGCCTCCACTGACGTCTCTACCACTGCACTGGGTGAGCTGGACGGATGCAGGGGCCCCACCCGGCCTCCCTTTATGTACACTTCGGTGGGCCCCACCCCTGGCTGGCCACGCCCCCTGCCCCACCTCCCGCGCCGGAAATCCAAGAACTCCAGGACACAGGGCGTTCACAGGGTTTATTTGCTTCTCCGGGAAAGTCAATTACACGGGCCTGTCACACATCGAAAGCAGAGGGGGCAGCAAGGGCACTTCAGCGGAGGCTCTCAGCTCGAGGACTTGGCAGCTCGAGGAGGGAGGGGGTCCATGCCACTGCCGGGAACCACCTCAGAGAGGGACTCTTCTCCCACCTTCGACGGGCAGAGCTGAGGCAGGCCGGGCTGGTTTCAGGCGGCCCCTGCATGGCTCTGCTGAGGCAAGGGGTGGCCTCAGTCTGGGCACAAGGCAGGGGAGTCCCCCAGGAGAGGGGCCCAAGATGGGGCCTGGTCATCCTACAGCCCACACAGGAGAGGGTCTGTGAGTGTCTGTGGGCATGAATGTGCCTCTGAGGACTAGTGTGGCTGCAACCTGGGAGATGTGAGTGCACATCTGGGTATCAGCTGCCCACAGGATGAGAGTCCCTCATCCCTCACCCCTTCCAGCAAGAGGGGTGAGGCTGGGTAGCCAATGGGGGCCTCCTGCTGCAACTCAGGGGAAAGTTCCCTGCCCTGGGCTGTGTGCCCCTCCACTGCCCAGAATGTGCCAAGCCCAGCAGAGCTGGCAGTGGGCCTGATCTCTGGGGTATGGTTGGGGAGACCCAGGACCCTGGCCCAAGCAGCCTGGAGAGTGGCCTGGGAAGCCCCCCCAGGGTCCCCAAATTAGCACCAGGAGGAAGGAAGGCCCAGTGAGGGTGGGAGCTCAAGACGAGAAGTGGCTTGCACAGCCCTGCTCTGTGCAGGGGGCAACTCGGAGACCCTCGCCTGACCCCTCCAGAGGACAGCACAGGCGTCATAGACTCCCCTAATGGGGGGGCTGTCCTCTGGGCTCCCCCTTCCTAGGCTCCATCATCCACTGGCCATGCCCACAGAGAGCATAAGGGGAGGGCACAGAAGGCTGGGGTGGCCAGAGGGGCCCCTGCTCCATTCTAAGAACTGGAGCCTGGTCCCTGAATGAGGCTGCCCAAGGAGGTGCGGCCTCACCCCAGCTGCCCAAGATCCCAACACCGGTGCCTTGGCTGGGGAACCCCACTTCCAGGGGCTGAGTGGGGACAGAAAAGGCCCCTGGGATCTCTCAGCTCCCTAGCTCCTCTCCGGCAGGATGTCCCCTTGGAGACCTCCTTGGAGGTGGCACGAAGGCACAGGCAGGAGGCCCAGGGGGTGGCGGGCTTGCCTGGGGCTGCACAGCGGCCCGGGTCCCACCAGCCAGGAACCCTGTGGGCGAGAGCCCGTCTGTGGAGCTGCCGTGACATGTGGGGGATCCTCGTGTTTTGGGAAAAGTGGGTCTGTCCGTGTCTCTGCCCTACCAGGCACAGGTGCACGGCTCAGCGGCTTAGGGCACGTCAGGGTGGTGATGGGTGCGGGACCCCTGTCCCTCTCTTTCCGGTGAAAGAAAACTCAGGAGGAAGATGTGACAACACGGCACGTCCTGGGGCCCGTGACTGTGGGTGGAGGGCGGGCAGGCACCGGCCGGGCTGTGGGTGTTTGGTGTGGAGGGTGGGGCCAGGGTCTGGGGCCTGCGGCTCACATGATGGAGCAGCATTTACAGCGCTGCTTCTTCACGTCAAGGTCCTGGGCGTCGCTGGCAGGGGCCTCGGACCCCACCTGGTTCTCTTCCCTGGAGCCTGCAGGGGCCGGGGGCTCCGCCACACTGCCGTTGGGTGGGGCGGCCTCCTTGGGCCCCGCCTCATCCTCTATGACCACCAGCTCCGCCGTGATGGTGTCCTGCAGCCCCAGCACCTTCTGGGTCTCCGCCTCGTCCTCCACATTCTGGTACCCCATGAAGATCATGGTGACGGGGGGCTCCTGGCCAGGCTGGATGCCCGGTGGGCCCGACGTGGCCTCACCCGGCTGCGCCTGCACCCCGGTGATCTCCCGTCTGGAGGGTGTGGTGGTCTGGGCGGCTTCCTCGGACGTCCCCCTCTTCTCCGCTGCCCCAGCCACGGGTCCTGCCTCGCTCAGCGTCACCTCATCTGCCTTATGGATGAGTTCGTCCACCTCGGAGGAGCTCAGGGGCTGGATGCCGTTCATCGCAGTGCCGTCCACGGCGTGGACCACTGGTGGGGTGGAGATAGAGAGAGTGAGGCCGGAGGGAAGCCTGGCAGGTCTGCGAGCCACCCTCCAGGCTAAAGAGAAAATCATGAACCAAACTAGATGGGCGACCTGAGCTCCCTATTGAGATCTGGGCCACAGGCAAACAGGCGTGCAGGGAAAACTTCACTGCACTTTTGAAAGCACATGTGGTGAACAAAGACTGCAATTCAATGAACTGGGAGGTTCCTGTCTTGCACTTTGAAGTATTTGTACTTGCAAAGTGGTTGTTTTTTTGTTTTTGTTTTCTTTTTTCCATTGAAAAGATGGTGGAAACAGAAGTTCGGAGAAAGGAAGTAGTTAGCGAGGCCACAGCTGGCCAGGCAGACCCGGCTCCCCCACCCTGAGGGATTGCGAGGCTCCCGGTCTCTCCTTCCTCCCGTCTCTCCGTGGATCCTGAATCAAAGCTAGCTCATTCACCCAGTCTTCCTTGTTTTCCTGTAAAGGCCCCAAAGGCTACATGCACTTTCTCTGAGTTCGGCTTTAGCCGCAGCCGATGGATTACATTACCTTGTGCTCTTTCAAGTTTAAATAGTTTATACTTTCCATTTTGACTGATTGCTTCTCTAAACTGAGATTTATTTAGAAAGTGATTTTAAATTTGGGGGAGAGAGGGGCTGTGGTCTGGGGACACGGAGCATAAACGTAAATGGCCCCTGAGGCCACCTTTGCAGCTGAGAGCACTGTCACTGTCACTCTCTGCAAACGCCCTGCCTGTTGCCTGTGCTTCACGAGAACACACATTCACCTCAGGACAGAGTGTCATGCCTGCGGTCAGTCTTTCCCCCCAATTGGTCTTGTTAATGCGTTTTCCAAAACTCTCCGACTTTCCTGCTCCGTGTCTCTCTGATCTGTCACTTCCTGAACTGTGCTGCAGTCTCTGAGGACGAGATTCAGCACCAAGAGGAGTACCGGCCCCAGTCTGATGCCAGCCCTGGAGCACCGCCTGAAACCCCCAGAAGCACAGCTTCCTGGCTGCCCATGGCCCCCCCGGGAGGAGGAAGGGGCCCACTGAGCCCAAGGACGTGTCTCCTCCCAGGCCAAGGGTCAGGGCTCAGATTTCTGGCCTCTGGCCAGATGGAAAATGCTCTCAACTTTCAGTTTCCAAACGCCCAGTGAGGGGCGTCCACACTGCAAGGCCTTGACGTGACTTTGGGCTGGAGGCCCCAGGGTAGGTGTGTCCCCGAGATACAGAATCAAGCTGAGCATTCCCACTGGCTACTGCCCCAGGACAGGAATCTGAGCCCTTGGCTGCCACGGAAATGGATCACCTTCCCATTGCTAAGCAACCGGCATCCAGTGGGGAGAGCCCTGACTCCCCAGGGGCTGGGCCAAGCTGGGCGAGTGGCCACGGGGAGGACCTTCTGCTCAGCAGAGGCATCTCCTTTGCCTCTCAGCCTTGTGCCCATTTTTGCCCAGGAGACAGGCAGCTGGGACCTGCCCAGAACCACACGGCCGGTGAGAGCTGGGCCCGAAGTCCTACCTGGGTCTATGCCTCAAACCAGAGCAGAGCTGGGCTATGACAGAGCCCCCACAGTAAAGTTCTGGACACCCCGGAGGCTCACATAACCACTTTGGGAATAAAAACCACAGTGGAATGTCACTTCACACCCAATAGGATAGCTTTACTACTAATTAAAAAGTGGACATTAGCCCCTGGCTGGCATAGCTCAGTGGATTGAGCTTGGGCTGCAAACCAAAGTGTCGCAGGTTCGATTCCTAGCCAGGGTACATGCCTGGGTTGCAGGCCATAACCCCCAGCAACTGCGCATTGATGTTTCTCTCTCTCTCTCTATCTCCCTCCCTTCCCTCTCTAAAAAATAAATAAATAAAATCTTTTAAAAAATGGACATTAACATGTGTTGTCAAGGATGTGGAGAAACTGGAACCCCCGTGCACTGCCGGTGAGAAACTAGCACGGTGCGGCCGCTGCGGAAAACACCCGGCAGTTCCTCAGAAGGGCAAGCAGAGTCCCCAGGTGGCCCAGCCGTCCCACTCCTACGTAGCTGCCCGGGAGAAATGAAAACACTCACCCACACGAACTTATAAAACCATAATATGGAAACAACCTAGATGTCCATCAGTGGATGGTGGGATAAACACAATGTGATCCGTCCAAACCACAGAATACCCTTCAGCCATAAAATATAAACACGATGGACCTTACAAACACGATGCTCAGTGAGAGAAGCCAGACACAAAAGGCCACACAGTGCGTGATCCGTTCACGTGGGGTGTCCAGAACAGGCATAGCCACAGGGCCAGGAAGTGGGTTAGTGGTTGTCCAGGGCTGGGGGAGGGGTTTCTATTTGGGGAACAAAAACGTCCCCGAATTAGACAGTGAGGGTGTACAGAGTGGTGAACACGCCCACACCCGCTGAGCGGTGCCTGAACACTCCAGGCCCCGACCTCTCACCGGGCAGGTCTGCGGCCGTGCTCACGGGCTCCGGAGTGGAGCTGCACGCGCCTTGTCGTGGCTCAGGGATTGGTCCTGTGGACTCCATTCCACGAAGAAAGCTAATGTTTGCCTTGGTTTTTGAATGTACCTTTTTAATGTCTTCTTAAAACATATTTTATTCACTGAAGTGGGTTTGTTTTATTTTACTAGCATCACAGTAAATGTAGCCTAGAATTGCCCCCCGCCCCAGGGTCCTTCACACATACCCTACAGGTCATGCCAAAAGTGAACAAAAGTTTACATGCCAAGGTGTTCATGAAACTGCTCTGTAAACACTGATGACCTGCACAGCTCAAGCAAATGTTCTCTGT